GCTGAGTTGGGGTTGTTCAGCCTGGAGAAGGCTCCGGGGAGACCTTATTGCGGCCTTTCAACATAGAAAGGGGTTTTACAAGAAAGATGGAGAAAGACTTTCTACCAAGGCCTGTAGTGACAGGACAAGGGACAATGGTTTTAAACTGAAAGAGGGTATGTTTAGGTTGGACATAAGGAGGGGATTTTTTATGATGAGGGTGGTGAGACACCGGAACAGGTTGCCCAGAGAAGTTGCAGGTGCCCCATCATTGGAAATGTTCAAGGCCAGGTTGAACGGGGCTTTGAGTAACCTGATCTAGTGGAAGATGCCCCTGCCCATGGCAGGGGGGTTGGACTAGGTATCTTTAAAGGTCCCTTCCAACCCAAACCGTCCTGTGATTCTATGATTCTACTTACACAACATTAATACTAGGACTTGCCTTTTTGAATTTGCTTTTCATATGTACTTAATGAATGGTTTCAAATAATCACATCAGCATTTCATCCTGACTATTTCCATTGCCGTTATTCGGGAGTACTCTTTCTATACAAAATCTTACATGAAATCAACAGTCTTAATTCCATTTTTGTATCTGCAGCTGGAAATTTTGGTCCACTCATTTCATATTCAGTGTTAAAGAATGAAGACCTTCAGTATGGTACCTTGTATGACTATATTTTTCTTTTGTTTTTTCAGTCCCACTCTCTCCCCTAATTCTAGACTCCACCTGAGTAGGTGCTGCCTTATAATTCTCAGCTGATGGCCAAATGACTCAACAATAAATGGAAACATTTTAATTTGGTCTGGTGAATATGCCCTAAACTATCTGTCATGTCCCATTTCTTGGAACAGAGTTTACTGACCCTAAAATTCTTAAGTGAGAACTATTACATTTCTGCAAAAACTTCTAAATTGCAGAAAATGTTTGTGTGTGTGACAAAGATGTAAATTTAGGACTTATTTAGCTTCTTAAATGCCGAGACTCATTAGGCATATTACAGTGCATTTATCATTAACTGTAAGTAGGGTCTTTTTATGTTTCCTAATTAAAACTCATTTTGTCCTCACCGAGGAGTCCTTCTGCCTAAACTTGCAATCATAATTTGAGGAATATCAGAAAATTTTAAGCTTTTAGTTGCTTATTCAAATCAGGTTCCGAAACAGAAATTTTCTACAACGTTCCTCCTCAACCTTTCTTTGCTCAGTTCCATTCATATTCACCGTCTTTAACAGATAAGCATTCTAAACTCTAAAACTGTATCAGCTGAGCTGCTGAATCCTTCCTCTGTATAAGAAGCAGGTTCTTCTCCTTCATTAAATTGACAATGTAAATTTAAAAGAAATATAAAAGAAGTTAATTTGTCTATGCTCTTTTTCTTTTGAAATCATTCCAAATTCTACTATATATCTTTTCCTGAAGTGACTCTTTACTTTTGTACAGTCATGTCGCTGTACATTGCTACAAACATATAATGGAAAAGAAGATATTATTTCCAGTACTAATTCCTGAAGGAATGAACTAGATGTCTTCTTATGTCACTGAGTGCATATCCACTGTCACCTAAAGTACAGTTTATCATCTACTCATGTAGTCCTGCTACTACTAATGATTTTACTGACTGGTATTTAGCACAGTAATACAGAGAATACTCTCCTAATACCCCAGGCAATTTGGTTATGACTACACTTCATGGCCCTAAGTCAATTATTTTTTAATGCCTCAGAAATGCCAATCAGATATATTATGTAATTATGCATACCATCCACTTTTACTATACTTACCCAGCATACATAGCCCATTTGTAGGTATTCTGCTACGGTTTCTCTGATTAGTATTTCCAGTATCTTACTCTCAACAAGTAAAGCTTACAGGTCTGAAGTTTCCTCGATAAGGCCATTACTCTTTATCAATGCTTTCTGATAAAGTAGTGCTGTCAGACTGTAAAGAAATTTTTGGTGATACTCATTCATCTTTTTGACAGAGGTTGTTGCAATGTAGTTAGGGCTAAAGTATCAAATACAAATGGGAATATTTTTGGAAAAAAACACTTTGGTAGATTAAGTTATTTCCATCAGTTTCATAAATAAAACCACAGTAGTAAACTATTGAATAAGCCCATTGTACCTGGATATCAATGGTTTTTCTAACCTTTGCAATCTTGCAGTTTTTATCCTGGATTATTCTCAGAGAACAACAATGTCATTTCTGAAGCATTCAAACTTTTCTGGACTTCACTGTTTGTGAAATTTCTTATTTCAAGAAGGTGGACGTTAATACAAATTCATGAAAACTGTCATGTAGCAAGGCCGACAAGGCTTCATGATTCCCATTGAATACACTTTTTTTCAAAGCCTTTTACGTTACAGAAAAAGAGATAGCACTAGAAAGATGGCATTTCAGGTAAAAAATGCCATTAACAGCAGGGAAATACAGTTTCATAGCAATGAATGTGTTGGAGAATGATGTGGAAATTAATCTAGGAAATAAATTAACAATATAGTGCACATTTGCCATACTGAACAAGAAGTGTGGACATTTGCTTCATTCAAGAGAAATTGCTTCTTCAAACTCAGAAATACTTGAGTTTCCCAAATACCATGCATGGGATTTTAAAAAAGCAGCTGCATAATAGTGATGCAATGAAAAGGTACCTGGTAAGACCTAAAAATAAATAAACAAATAAATGCGAGAACTTGGGGAAAGGGACTCATGCCAATATCTGGTGAAACATGGCAACAAGTTCAGAGACTTGAAAATATCTTACACTGAATCCTTAATTTTCAGGCTGGATAACTTAAGTACAGTCTATGATCTCTTCTTTACTTAATTTGCATTGTTACCGAATGCCCAGATACATGCCATAAAAAATATGTCCTATGTCTAAATAAAGAAGAAGATTACGTATAAAGGGAATAAAAATCATGCACGTTATGGAACACAGTTTGACAGAGCAGCTGCAGTTCATATAAGGTCATCTAATTAAGCTGTGAGAGCAAGGGGGAAGGAAGCACAAATTTATATTCTATTGTGTGCATGAAAAAAGTATTTTGCATGTCATGATTTTGTAATTACGGTCTATATAGCCCTATAACTCTTATCAGGTTCTAATTAACTATAGCACAGCAGGTAGACAAGACAGTATCTTTTCGGTGCTGTTTTAATGCTCTGTCAAGAACACAAAAAAATGTATCACAGGAAACAGACATCACCATTTTATTGGAAAAAAAAAAGAGACTCTTAAAATGGTTTTAGTTGCAATAATGATCAAAACTTTGTATTTTCCGTAAGTGCTAAATTATTTTACATTTATTTCTACCATTATCGTTACAAATAAAGTTTAAAAGTACGTATTTTAAAAATGCATTGCTGATTAAAAGAGCATGTTACAAAACCTATACACGTAATAATCTTATTTGGGATTTTGGAATAATTGAATATATCTTCGTAAGTTATTCAGGAAAACTATAGCGAAATAAAGAAAGCAAAAGTTATTAAACATTTTCTTTAATACTACCTTGTTTTCTAATTAAACTACAACTACCGCTATATAAAAAGTTAAAAATCAATTCACTCAGAATAAGGTGACTTGGTAAATTTTTCAGCTATGCTCCTGATAAATCTTCCATGTAAAAATAAAATATATCAAGGAAAAGTTTTTCCAAATGTAAATACTGACAATGATACATTCCAATTCCACTCATGCATCAATGCCCAAAAATACTAGCCTAATTTTCTTTAAGATGTGTTGGTACTCATCAAATTTTTGAAGAGATTCACTGAGTTCAGAAAACCTTAGAGTACTAACTGAAATCTCTAAAAGAAATGTTCTTTGATATTTTCCTGACACTTATTCTAATATCAAACTGTTTACATCTGAAACAGAAATCAGTCTATCAGCAAAACGTACATTTTCTTAAGCTCACCTCTCCTTAGGCCATATAGAAATAAGTATCTGCCACACCTTTAAATGCAAAGTGTGCCCTATGCACAGTGTAGTGGTATTCCTAGTATGAAAACTCTGACACAAACTACATAATAATTATGTTGGGTAAACCATATAGCACACAATTAAAAAACGATGGATGAGTTGCACGAAGATTTGAGGAAGTGTGAATGGTCTGTTCTTCTGCTTTGTCTCTAGGAGAACTGTGAGAATCCGCTTCCACTATAAAAATATTTTTAAAACATTATTATTTCTGAATACAACTGAATAAAAGAATGCTTTAAGTGCAGTAATTTATCACGTCTTCTCTTTGATTAATATTTGTGGTTCTTTTACATTCTTTTTATAATATTAATTACTGCCACTATATCCAAGAAGCATTTTCTAAAAAAACTAGGCAACATTTCTGATCTGAACTCTCTCTCTCCTCAATTCTGACACTGTAAGTTATAATTAAAATTTATTTTATTTACCCTTGTTTTAAGAGGTAAGTCACATACAATGAAAAATATCTATATAATTTTAAAAACAGTATATTAGAAGTTGTTTTACTCAAAAATCCTTCTCTCCTCTCCCACAAGGAATTTCGTACATACAGTGTGCCCTTTACAATGCAGACCGTCTAATCACTGCAGGTTCAACTTAACCATTTTCCAGTCTATAATCCATACCGTTTATATTGTTCATGTCATGTTCCTGATGTAACTTTTCAGTCACACTACTTCATTTTATAACAGTTCAGTGGAGCATAAATTTTAGCTTTTGGTCAGCTATAACAAAGTCTCCCCCAAAATTTTATATATGTACAATACAGCTACTCCAATTATAATATTGTATCAGTGGTCTTCCCACTCTCAATTCTTGTAAGAAGTGTCACAAAAATTTGTCACAGCTCATCCGAAAGATTTCACTTATACCTGTGAACTACCCATAGGTCTGCCAGGTTCTAGTTAACATGCACTGCCAGTCTTTTGTACTAAGCTTTTTAATTCTTACTTTTAATGGAATCCCTTCCCCTGTGAATCTCACTCTTTTGAAGAATATGGACTGTCTGCCCCGTTGTTCTACCAATGCTCAACAAATCTGGAAAGAAATGTTAGTTTCTGTGAGTTCTTAATGAAAGATTTGAAAAACAAGAAAATATCAACCATACGGCCTGGTGTCTTCACATTTAAAACTTAATGAAAAAGGATACCTTTACTGATTTAGTTTTGTATCTCTGAAGATGTGAGTTATCTCCAGCTTTTGTCTTCCCCATAGTTTATGTAACTACAGACTGCCAAGTCCTACGGCACCGCTCCTCACCACAGAAGTTCTATTCTCACCATATGACCATAAACACACAGACCCCCAAAACCAATTTAAGTAGGTTACTGTTCTGTTTGAAAGATCAACCTGTCAACAACACGGTGGCTCCTGTATGCAGTTTACCTCCTATGGAAATTCCAGCCAAAATTTGGTGAGGAGCAAAGAAAGAGGAGAGATGGGAGACAAGTAGATACATACACTCCATGAGTGCATACATACAAATGTCTGAAATAATACACATGCAAATGAAGACGAATACAAATACTTACTCTCAAACAAAATTTCTAGCCTTTCTGCATTCTCTTGCAAGGTAGTGTACCACTGGTTGGCTACTATAGAACGAACACCAGTAAGGCTTAGAAGCATTGCTGTCTCTTTTGGTCTCTCTATAGCAATATGTAGACAACTAAAGAAAATCAAAAGTACAACACCAATAAAGTAAAAATGTATGTAATATATCAAAAAATATAACTAAATATACAGTGCTTTTTAATAGAAGGGGAAAGGGAATATCAGACTGCATTTTCTTGTGTGCTGAGCATAAAGTGTTTTCTAATAGTCATACAGCACCTTAAATTTAATACAAAGAATTTAGTAACTGTCTCTCTACTTCTTTTCATGATGCAGTTTTACCATGTGGATTGCTCCCCATCATATTACTGTTCTGGGCATGTCAGGGTATGTGAAAGGAGGAGTAACATACTAACTTTTACAAAATACTGCAGAATACCCTTTATAAGATAGTCAAAATGTTGGGAATCAGGTGAAAAGACTTGATTAGTTCTGCTTAGGTTGCTAAAGGGAAACATAAAATATTGCAGGAACTGAAAGCTTGCTCTTTGTCATAAGCATGGCAGTAATGTGGAGGCTTAAAAGCAAATCACTTGTAAAGTGGGATTAGATTTTTTACTGCTGAATATTTAAGTACCTTTGGTATTATTGTTTTAGTGATGGAAGGGGAGTGATTCTCTGTAGGGTTGGAACTGCAGTAAATTGAAGGCAGAATTTTGTTTTTATTAGCCTCTGCTTTTCATGGTAACTTTATCAGAAGATGATAGTTAAAGTTTTCTGTAATCTTTTGGGGAGATGCGGTCTGATAGTCTATGGAGTTATGTGACTTAGCTTTAACTGAATGTTATTCTAAACTTTCTGGAAGCTTTTAGGCTTAAACATGTAAGTCCTGTTGAAAAATTCACCAATCTATTAAAGTGAGACTTCAAAAGTTCAGAGTTCGAAAAACTAGTTTAAAGAATTATGTTTTGTTTTGGTCTAGGAAATGCTATTTTGGGGAAGTGAAGAAGGATATCAAAAATAAATACACCAGGAGGTTGTTTAAACACTCAGAGATCTGCACATTTACACATGTAGATGTGTGTATAACTACTATATATCTTACACACAATTCATTTTAACTTACACATTGTTGCATTGATGAAACAGTATTTCTAGAGAAGAATTTTTTCCATTTCTTTTTCATGGAATGAACAATATGCAGCCCTAACAGGATTGGAAATAAGATTTAACTGGCTGCAGAACTATGGAAGTCCCAAAAATGACATGAATAAAAGTACATACATTTTGATATGGTCTGTGTTAAGAGGAGGGGAGGGGAGGGGAGGGGAGGGGAGGGAAAGGGAGACTAGAATATTTTCAGTTGGAAGGGACCTACAACGATCATCTAGTCCAACTGCCTGACCAATTCAGGGCTGACCAAAAGCTAAAGCATGTCATTAAGGGCACTGTCCAAATGCCTCTTAAACACTGACAGGCATGGGGCATCAACCCCCTCCCCAGGAAGCCTGTTCCAGTGTTTGAACACCCTCTCAGTAAAGAAATGTTTCCTAATGTCCAGTCTGAACCTCGCCTGGTGCAGCTTTGAACGATTCCCATGCGTCCTGACCCTGGATCCCTGCGAGGGAAAGGATATCAGCACCTCCCTCTCCAGCCCCCCTCCCCAGGAAGCTGTAGAGAGGTCACCCCTCAGCCTCCTTCTCTCCAAATGAGACAAACCCAGAGTCCTCAGCCGCTCCTCAGAGGACATTCCTTCTAGCCTTGTCACCAGCTTTGTTGCCCTCCTCTGGACACATTCAAGTGATAGGACGAGAGGAAATGGCCTCAGGTTGTGACAGGGGAGGTTCTAAATTGAGGGGCCCAGCACTGCACACAGTATTCTAGGTGAGGCCGCACTAATGCTGAATACATCGAGATAATCACCTCTTTTGACCAGCTGGTTATGCTGTGTTTGATGCACCCCAGGATGCGGTTTGTCCTCTTGGCTGCCAGGGCACACTGCTGACTCATATTGAGCCTCCTGCAAACCAGCACCCCCAGATCCCTTTCTGTAGAGCTGCTCTGCAGCTAATCCTCTTCCCGTTTATATTTGTGCCCAGTGTTACTCTGTCCCTGGTGCAGAATCCGGCATTTGGACTTGTTAAATTTCATGCCACTGATGACTGCCCAATGCTGCAATCTATCTATATCCCTTTGCAAGGCCTCTTGTCTCTCAAGAGTATCATAGAATCACAGAATCATTTAGGTTGGAAAAGACCTTTAAGATCAAGTCCAACCATTAACCTAACACTGCCAAGTCCACCACTAAACCATGTC